AGGGCGTTACTACCAGTAGCTAGAAGCTACTAGTAGCAAAGTGCATTGCTAGTAGTAGCTCCTCGTTCCTAGTAACAAGGGCATTACTACTAGCTCCAAGGAGTCAGCTGCTTGGCCTGGCCTTGTCAGACTGCGCCAACATTCTGCGGCATTTTGTCTTACGGACGTTACTTTTGTATTTCGTTGATAGTGTGTCTCTTTTGGCATTTCAAGCATCCGGAACTGCAGGAACCCAATACCCTTTTTTTTCCCAGACACCAGATCAGGTGACACCGATATGCTTTTCCCACATGACTGCACCGCAATTGTGGAACCAGCCACTTGGCCGTGGGTAGACGGACAGATACAATTCCAAACAATGTGTGTTTTTGTATTATGGTCAGTTGTTTGTGCATGTTTGGCTTCAACTGTTGCATGCGCAACATCGCTGTGAGGCCAAATGTTCTCGCAACCCGCCTTTCACTCTTCAAGGCAGCTTTGTTGAAGCTCGCTCAGAGCTTTGTTTTGCAGCAGCTTCGCGGCTTCCGGAGACGGGTGGACAAAGCTTGATGCTGCAAGGTTCATAGGTGGCAGTTGAGATTTTGAATGATCAATTGTCCTAAGTGACACATTTCACACAAGCGATGTGGGGAAGTTGCTTCACATGGGCACCACCCGTTAGAGAACATTACATATACCTGGAATGCACGCATGTGTGCACACGTACACAGTCCAAGTCACACGTACAATGACTTGTTTGAACTCATTGTCATAGAAAGAGTTGGTTGATTTGATGAGGGGCTCCTTGGTTTGGCAACTGCCTGTATGTAATGTATATATTAGGAAAGCAAGCCGATAGGCTAGGCTGGGGTTGTCGATGGGCAAACGAATAGTATTAGGGAGTGTGGGGGGGTGGTTGCATAGAGGGCCAATCTGGTAGGGCGAACCCAGAGCCTGGTGGTGGAGAGCGAAAGAGTGCGTCCGAAAGGGAGTGAACATGTAGCATCATGAGGGGACAGGACACACGGATGAACTTACCCACAATGTCATTAACGCAGTCTCCCCTGGGCTGCATAACCGGCATCGCGAACGTTTACTTCGGAAGCCATACAGTTTTGTTATCTATCTTAAAAAACAAAAAACTTCAAAAACGCACCATTTGCAATTTCCCAAAAATAAAAGGCCCCCCCAAGCTAAAGCTTATTAAGTGGACTAATCCAGCAAGTATCTTGCCGCTTGCACGAAGCGTCTCAGCACCTTCGGCGCGGGCGGAGTTTGAGGACGTGCTTGCATTCGGGTTCGTGGGTTCCATCATGAGACTCAAGCAGTACGGGATGCAATTTCTTGTGGTAAGGTATATATGTAGGTCATTGCGCGGGCCGGTACCGGCCCACCACACCTGATGCCAATGGGGACCCTTTTGTCGAACGTCGCAGCCGGACAATCTTTCTCCAGTGAGTCCAACGAAGGTTGCATTGAGAATCAGCCAGTTGCCCACCCAGAAGTTCTAGCAGCAAAGTGCGGTGCCAATTAACACTGGAGGGCAATTTAATTTAGGATTTTTCGTTTTGTTTTAGATGTTGTTTGTTTCTCGTGGCTTTTGTGGCATCCGTGCGTTTTGTGGCTTCCGTGGCTAGTGTGGCTTTTGGCTTTGGTGGCTTTTGTGGCTTTCGTGGCTTCTGTGGCTTTTGGCTTTCTTGGCTTTCGTGGCTTTTGTGGCTTTTGGCTTTGGTGGCTTTCGTGGCTTCTGTGGCTTTTGGCTTTCGTGGCTTCCGTGGTTTCTGTGGCTTTTGTGGCGTTTGGCTTTCGTTGCTTTCGTGGCTTCTGGCTGTTTGCTACTAGTCCATCTTTGGAGGAATGTGAAATCCGAGGCACAGCTACCAGATCTAAGACGGTCTTGTTTTCATCCAGACGATGCCCTTGGTGGCTTTTGGCTTTTGGTGGCTTTTCGCTTTTGGTGGCTTTTGATGACTTTGGTTTTCTGTGCTTTTTTTTCCTTTTCGTGGCTTCTGTTGGCTTTTCGTGTCTTCATTCACTGATACGGTGTAATTATGCCTGGCTGTTTGCCAGCTACCAGCTCCCAAATCTGTCTACCTATCCATCTATATGTCTGTATCTATCTGTCAATATCTATCTTTCTTTCTATCTGTCTGTCTATCCATCTATATATCTATCTTTATTTCTTTCTTTATGTATTTCTTTCTTTCTGTCTTTCTTTCTTTTTTTCTTTCTCTTTGGCATATTTATCTTTTTGCTTTTGCTTTTCCATTTGTTTGCTTTGCAGAGAAGAAACCAAACAAGCAAGCAAGCAAACAAGCAAGCACGAGCTGCTCACCTTTGGATCTGGTGTGCTGCTGGGGGGGCTGCGCCCCCCCCAACCTCCCCGCACCACGAAATCTGCACTTCATCTCCGACACCTGCGCCGGCCACGAAATCAATATTGTGAGGTGAACTCCTCGGTGCAACAAATTTCCTAACTAAGCAAATATGCCTCCTGCGCTAGTTCTCTTTCTCTTTGATGTTTCTCTGCTAACTGCACCAAACTGTTGTGATGGGTAGGAATTTCTCTGACACCTGTCTACCTATCCATCTATTTGTCTGTATCTATCTATCTATCTGTCTATCTGTCTATCTATCTCTCTATCTATCTATCTATCTACCTATCTATCTATCTGTCTATCGATCTATCGATCTATCGATCTATCTGTCTATCTGTCTATTTGTTTGTCTATCGATCTATCTATTTTATTTTTTTTGCTCGGTTCTTTTGCTCCTGCCAAGTCAATGGCGCGACCACACCATCAGGCAAAAGTGGTCCTTTACAAGGGCCAAGGATCATTCGCCTTGTAGCCCTGCCTCATCCTCTACATCCCTCGCCTGGTGGTAGCCAAAGTCAACTCTCGCAACATGGCAACCACTGAGGACTCTCGACCCAACTCCTCCTTCAGCTGTCAGAGCTCTGCGGTCCAAAGTGCAGCTTCGTCTGTCCTTTGGCCTTCAGACAATGCTGGTGCACCCACTGCTGCACACGATCTATCTATTTGTCATTATCTGTCTATTTGTCTGTCTATCTATCTATCTATCT